ATTGCACTTGTGTGTAAGGGGGGGGGGTTGTCATGTTTGAGAAGAGTTTAGAGAGCTGTGTGACGTGGGTGCATCTTTACCCTTTTACCACCAGCTGATACAAGATAACACTTGTGTGTAGAGGGGGGGGGGGGGTGTCATGTTTGAGAAGAGTGCAGAGAGCTGTGTGATGTGGCTTCATAACACCCTTTTACCACCATTTGATACAAGATAACACTTGTGTGTAAAGGGGGGGGGGTGGGGGGTTGTCATGTTTGAGAAGAGTGCAGAGAGCTGTGTGATGTGGGTGCATATACACCCTATAACCGCCAGCTGATATATGCTTACACTTGTGTGTAGGAGGGGAGGTTTGAGAAGATTGCAGAGAGTTGTGTGATGTGGGTTCATAACACCCTTTTACCACAAGCTGATATAAGATAACACTTGTGTATAGGGGGGGGGGGGGGTGTCATGTTTGAGAAGAGTGCAGAGAGCTGTGTGATGTGGGTGCATGTACACCCTTTAACCGCCAGCTGATATATGCTTACACTTGTGTGTAGGAGGGGAGGTTTGAGAAGAGTGCAGAGAGCTGTGTGATGTGGGTTCATAACACCCTTTTACCACCAGCTGATATAAGATTACACTTGTGTGTAGAAGGGGGGGGGGGGTTGTCATGTTTGAGAAGAATGTAGAGAGGTGTGTAATGTGGGTGCACGTTCATCCTTTTACCAGCAGCTGATATATGCTTACATTTGTGTGTAGGGGGGGGGGGGGGAGGGGGTTGTTGTCATGTTTTAGAAGAGTGCAGAGAGCTGTGTGATGTGGGTTCATAGCACCCTTTTACCACCAGCTGATACAAGATAACACTTGTGGGTAGGGGGGGGGGGCGGGTTTCATGTTTGAGAAGATTGCAGAGAGCTGTGTGATGTGGGTTCATAACACCATTTTACCACTAGCTGATATAAGATTACACTTGTTTGTAGGGGGGGGGGGGGTGTCATGTTTGAGAAGAGTGCAGAGAGCTGTGTGATGTGGGTTCATAACACCCTTTTACCACCAGCTGATATAAGATAACACTTGTGTGTAAAGGGGGGGGGGGTGTCATGTTTGAGAAGAGTGCAGAGAGCTGTGTGACGTGGGTGCATGTTCATCCTTTTACGGCCAGCGGATATATGCTTACACTTGTGTAAAGGAGGGGAGTTTGTTGTTGTCATGTTTGAGAAGCGTGCAGAGAGCTGTGTGATTTGGGTGCATGACACCCTTTTACCACCAGCTGATATAAGATTACACTTGTGTGTAGGCGGGGGGGGGGGGGGGGGGGGGTTGTCATGTTTGAGAAGAGTGCAGAGAGCTCTGTGATGTGGGTTCATAACACCCTTTTACCAACAGCTGATTGAAAATAACACTTGTTTGTAGAATGGGGGGGGGGGGGGGTTGTCATGTTTGAGAAGAGTGCAGAGAGTTGTGCGATGTGTGTGCATCTTCACCCTTTTACCACCAGCTGATACAAGATAATACTTTTGTGTAGAGGGGAGGGGGGGGGGGTGTCATGTTTGAGAAGAGTGCAGAGAGCTGTGTGATATGGGTTTATAACACCCTTTTACCACCAGCTGATATAAGATTACACTTGTGTGTAGGGGGGGGGGGATTGGTTGTCATGTTTGAGAAGAGTGCAGAGAGTTGTGTGACTTGGGTGCACGTTCATCCTTTTACCACCGGCTGATTCAAGATTACACTTGTTTGTAGGGGGGGAGGGGGTTGTTGTCATGTTTTAGAAGAGTGTAAAGAGCTGTGTGAAGTGGGTGCATGTACACCCTTTTACCACCAGCTGATATAAGATATCACTTGTGTGTAGAGGGGGGGGGGGGGGGGCGGGGTGTCATGTTTGAGAAGAGTGCAGAGAGCTGTGTGATGTGGGTGCATGTACATCTTTAAACCACTAGCTGATATAAGATTACACTTGTGTGTAGGGGGGGGGGAGGGAATTGTTGCCATATTTTAGAAGAGTGTAAAGAGCTGTGTGACGTTGGTGCATGTACACACTTTTTCCACCAGCTGATATAAGATTACACTTGTGTGTGGGGGGAGGGGTTGTCATGTTTAAGAAAATTGCAGAGAGTTGTGTGATGTGGGTTCATAACACCCTTTTACCACCAGCTGATATAAGATTACACTTGTGTGTAGGGGGGGGGGGGGGGGCGGGTTCCATGTTTGAGAAGAGTGCAGAGAGCTGTGTGATGTGGGTTCATAACACCTTTTACCACTAGCTGATATAAGATTACACTTGTGTGTAGGGGGTGGGGGGGTGTCATATTTGAGAAGAGTGCAGAGAGCTGTGTGATGTGGGTTCATAACACCCTTTTACCACCAGCTGATATAAGATAACACTTGTGTGTAAAGGGGGGGGGGGGAGGGTGTCATGTTTGAGAAGAGTGCAGAGAGCTGTGTGATATGGGTTCATAACACCCTTTTACCACCAGCTGATATAAGATAACATTTGTGTGTAAAGGGGGGGGGGTGGGGGGTTGTCATGTTTGAGAAGAGTGCAGAGTGCTGTGTGATATGGGTTCATAACACCCTTTTAACACCAGCTGATATAAGATTACACTTGTGTTAAGAGGGGGGGGGGTGTCATGTTTGAGAAGAGTGCAGAGAGCTGTGTGATGTGGGTTTCTAACACCCGTTTTACCACCAGCTGATATAAGATTACACTTGTGTGTAGGGGGGGGGGGGGGGGGGGTGGGGCGGGGGGTAGTCATGTTTGAGAAGAGTGCAGAAAGCTGTGTGACGTGGGTCCATGTACACCCTTTTTCCACCAGCTGATTGAAGATTAAACATGTGTGTAGAAGGGGGGGGGGGGGAGTTGTCATGTTTTAGAAGAGTGTAAAGAGCTGTGTAACGTGGGTGCATGTACACCCTTTTTCCACCAGCTGATTGAAGATTAAACATGTGTGTAGAAGGGGGGGGGGGGGTTGTCATGTTTGAGAAGAGTGTAGAGAGCTGTGTGACGTGGGTGCATGTTCATCCTTTTACCACCAGCTGACTGAAGATTACGCTTGTGTGTAGGGGGGGGGGTTGTCATGTTTTAGAAGAGTGTAAAGAGCTGTGTGACGTGGGTGCATGTACACCCTTTTTCCACCAGCTGATTGAAGATTAAACATGTGTGTAGAAGGGGGGGGGGGGGGTTGTCATGTTTGAGAAGAGTGTAGAGAGCTGTGTGACGTGGGTGCATGTTCATCCTTTTACCACCAGCTGACTGAAGATTACACTTGTGTGTAGGGGGGGGGGGTTGTCATGTTTGAGAAGAGTGTAGAGAGCTGTGTGACGTGGGTGCAGGACACTCTTTTACCACCAGCTGATATGATTACACCTGTGTGTACGGGGGGGGGGGGGGGGGGGTAGTCATGTTTGAGAAGAGTGCAAAGAGCAGTGTAATGTGTGTACACCCTTTTACCACCAGCTCTGATATATAATTGTAGCCCCAGGCAGTATGCAGGTGGGGTACTTTGGATTCAGCAGCATCATATTCTTGCATGCGCTGTAACTGCCACATTCATTGACGGATTTCTTTCAAATTTTGTTTGGAGGTGTATCTTGGTATTAGTATCTACACACCTATATCTTTTGGTGATGCTGCCCTCAGTGTTCGTCTTCTAAAGGGTTAAAGGCCATATTTTTTTGGATGGTTTGTGTGCACTCTATAGGCAACATTTCTCTTGGGATTTTGTTCAATTTTTGAACAAAGGTGTATCTCGGTATAATGTACGAGCCTATTGATTTTGGTGATGCTGCCTCTAGTGTTCCGTCTTTTATAGTGTAAAAAGCCATATTTTGGTGGCTGTCTTTTGTGTGCTCTAACTGCCACATTTCTTGACAGATTTCTTTCAATTTTTTACAGAGATGCATTATACTCTAATCTACACACACATTGTTTAGGTAGTGTTGCTTTTAGTCTAGACAATAGTCCGAGCCACTAGTGGCGACCTCTCTACGTCGTCCTTTTGTTTCAGGGAGGGGAGAGGGGAACTTTGTCCCTCCCTCGAACATACTGTAAGGATGACACAAAATCGCTGCCACTGCTGGGGGATACATTCGCATTGCGCGGCAATACAGATTGCGATATTTGTAGTTATTTATTATAGTAAAAAAAACATACAAATGTTTAAAATCCTATTGATGGGAACAACTGTAACAAATCAAAATGTGAGTAATAATGGTATGACGATTTAAGTTAAGAAAGCAAATAATTATTGTAGCAAAATTACATCATAACAGCAGACAACAAATTATATCAACAGAAAGAATTGTGTAAAATGACTTTGATAATACTTGTAGTGTGAAATTGTGCATGGATTTAAATCATGAAGGTGTTGCCTGTGCAACTCTAAACACATCCCATTTTCTGCATTAACATGTTTGAATCCACTTATTAAATTGTTTTTTAAAAATAATGCTACAAGTTACAGCAAGTGCAAAAATTGAATGTTAACTAATTCTGGTTATATATACCTTAAAGGTAATACAAAGTTTTGGTATGGGGTCATGAACTTGGTTCAAATGAACATATTGGGAGCATATGCAATCCTACAATATTCAGTGATCGTTGTCGCGGTTGAAATCAAGTTTAAAGTGATGAAATTGTAAATAATAAACTCTTTATGTTGTATAGCGCCCTCTCAGGGTCAATATATTAATTTAGCTATAAAAAAATTTGAGATTTTTATTGTCGCAGCTACCGTCATATGGCCGAAGGCGATTTTAAAATTTATCAAAATTTACCGGGAGCACGGGTAAATTTTTTTATTCAATTTTTCTCTAAAGCAGAAGTGTTTTAGGGGCTAAATTTGTTAGTGCTTATAATACATCCTTAGGGGCATCCAAATATATCAAAATTGTAAAGAATCACTATCCAGCTAATTTTCAAAATTTACCAAACTTTGTAATACCTTTAACAATAAAGATGAAGGTGTGATACCTATTTGATGCATGTTGACAGTATGTAATCTTGACTTTCCCTCAAGAACCAAGTAAAAAGATGCAGGATGGTGAGCAGGCGGTTTGTTCTGAGGGTACGAAAGAGGAGAAGGAGGGTAATTATGAGGAAAAGGATGAGGACCGGGAAAGTCCTGTGATACTTCTGACAGCCCCTACTGGCCGTGCAGCCTCCATACTTAAGAGGCGCACCGGGATGAAAGCGAAGACCCTGCACAGTGTCCTGGGCACCGCCCGCAAGTCCAATCCCGAGGAATTCATCTACGACAAGGTGGAGATCCTAGTCGTGGATGAATGCAGTTTAGTTCCCATCTCCATCTTGTCAGAAGTCTTGAGTACACTTCTGGGCCACAGCCTAAAGAAGGTCATCTTCTTGGGTGACCCACATCAACTCCCGTCCATCGACCCAGGAAACTTTCTCAAAGATATCATCAAAGCCGGTATTCAATTTATTTTGTTGAGTATCGTAAAATATGTCTTAGTGACCACCTTTATAAAAAGGCTACTGGTCTTAAGTGGTCAGCTAAATTGCCTTCTTCTATGAGCAAACATATGCATAGCTGCCAACTGTTACGAAAAAAATCGTAATTGTTACGAATTTCCCACCCTCGTTACCAAGTTACAAATTAAAAAAATAAAAAAAAAAATATGATTTTTTATTTTGTGTGTGTGTGTGTGCCATTATAATGGCAAAATGCCCATTCTGTCCTGTAAAGTATCCTACAAGCATCTCACATGGGCAATTTAAGGATGTTCATTGAAAACACCAGTCCAGTCATTACGAAATCTACCTTATTCAACCAATGATCCATAAACAAAATTCTTCCTGTATGTAGGAGCTGTAAAAGGCATTGATCTGTGTTTTTTTTTTTAATTCAATTTTTGTCAGTAAAATACAACTTTTGGGATAAAAGAATACAGTTTATGAACTCCAGAGGTTGACAGGTCTGACATAGATGTGCGCTTCATGCACATGATATTCAGTTTTACTTAAATGTTACTAATTGAAAATTCAAGATGTTGACAGCTACCGGTATGCATATGTTGAAGAACCTGTTTAGATAGGCCTCTTGTCTACAGTGGCCACTTTTCATTTTTCTTGGATGGTCTTAACTCACAGATTTGACTGTGTTAATGCATTTTATTTAAAACTCATCTGGATTTCCTTGGAGTTCAAAAATATCAAAGAAGTGGATTTGTTGCATGCTTTACAGTCCATAGCATCTTTTAGAAGATTTATTAGGAACTTCATACTTGTTTCTCTCTCCAGTTTCCCAGACTACCAATCTTAGCTTCATCCAGACCCTGGAGAAGAATCACCGGACTGACAAGGGCGGCAGACTCATCGTTAAGAACGCACGTAAGATCGCTGAAGAGAGAAAGAGCGACCTTCTCTATGAGCCTGACAGGTTTGAAATGATTGACACCTCAAACTGTGAGGCTGGCAAAGGTGAGTATACAGTCTAGGATAATGATAATAGGAGTAGACTTCATAGTAGTAGTAGTACTAATGATGATGATGATGATGATGATGAAAAGGATAATAATGGTAGCTTCTTATATAGTGTCACTTCAATTGTTACCCCAGTCCCCAGCCATAGTCGAAGGTCCAAATATGTAGCGCCCTAGCATATTGGGTACCCATTTACACCTGGATGGAGAGTGACAACTGTGGATTAACGTCTTGCCAAATAATGTTAGGGCCAGGTTGGGATTCAACTGTGGATCACATGGTTCATGATTCAAGTCCCGTAACATTAATGTGCATTTGCCACTTTCCACCCAGGCGTTAAATGGGTACCAGTAGGAAGGAATTTTTTTAATGACATGAGCACCTAAATCTGTAGCCTAGCAGAGCCAGGGTAATATTGGAGTGCCTTGAGCTCTTTGCATGGTGGATTTGTTTGAATATTTAGTCCGAGCATTTTAGCCATATGTCATTTTATTTTGAGTATTCCCTATAAAAAGTTTTTTCAAGAAAAAAAAACATTTCATGGGACATTTTTTTTTGGTGATATCCTTCCACACTAACATGAAAAGAATGTAAACACTCAAAATATGTTTTGTCCTGTCCAGAAGTCAACCTTCTCTCTAAAGTGATTTTTTTTTTGCTTGGTAATATTTAGGTCAACAACAAATTCTGGACAGACTGATAAGGACCAAGCGCCAGCTCCAAGATCACAAAAAGTCCCAGATTGTGGCCTTCAAAAAGTAAGATTCGGCAGAGACCTTGTATATCTCATTTATGTTCTTGATTCTTCAGATCTAGTCTCTGATTGAAAATGCAGGCTTCTCTGCCATTTTTCTTGCAACTTGAGTCAAACAAAGTTTTGTTCCTGATCGTCTTATATTAAAGTCTATGTACAGTCAGTGGTAATGTATGACTTGGCATCAGTGTAGTTGATTATTTTGAAGTGCCGATGCGTAGTGAAGGAATAAATTACATATGATAACAGAATGAATTAAGTCATCTGAAAATGTACAAATACTAGTAATGTTTTATGCTCTGAAAACAAATGTGATTCAATACTTGTTTTAGATATTGCCAAAGATTCTGCTGAAATTAAACTCCATTGGAATTAATTATTCCTCCATATGAAGTAAATATAATGATAAGATCTGGATAAAAATGCTGACAACATTGAAAAGGGTAATTTTTTCCTAAGAAAATGCTTGAAGAACACCGCATGCATTTGTTATGATTGAAATGTTTGCATTTCTTTTGGTTGATATTCCCAGCGTCGATGTTGAGAACATCAACAAAGTATGCTGTAAGTACTACGCAGGGCATGACACATTCATGCCAGGTCGACATCATAGTCATCACATCGGAGACAAGATCTGCGCTAGGAAAAACTCCACCATCAGGATCTTAGGACGAAGCAACCCCAAGGACAAGGACAAGAAGAAGCTAGAGGCAGAAGGGAGCAAGGTCCAAAGAGAGGGAGAGGCAGAAGGGAATGAGGTCCAAAGAGAGGGAGATGCAGGAGGGAGCGAGTTCAAGGTGGACAACCAGAAACAAAGAGAGGGTCAGGCAGGCCCGAGCAAGAAGAAGGAAAAGAAGGGCAAAGAAACTTATCACATCAGCAATGGAGATACTTTCTTCATTAAAAATGTAAGTGAAGGGAAACAATGTTCTGAATGAGGTTACACATGGGATCATGAGCATAATGCCTGATAGATAAAAGCACTTTGAAACAGCCCACTTTTACTGTATGACAGTCAGAAATGATATTGTTTATGGTTGTGATTTATAATTATCTGTCAAATGCCTATAAAATTGACATAAAATTGACAGGCTGACAGATGCATCAAGACAAGCTGCAGACAGAAATACTTGGCATACCACCACTATACAGAAGCCATCACGAGGCCCCTGGCCTGCGTGGACGGCATAAGTCAAGTAAGTCAAGAGGAAGAAATGTTATCTTTGATGTAATCATGATTTTATGCAAGAACAAAGCCGATACAACATGAACTCCAGCTGGGAAATCTGTTGGTGAATCTTTGCCATGATTAATAAGATTAGATGATACTTTTTCATTAGAAGATGGATAAATACTTGATCATGACCTAGCAATTTCTATATAAACAAACAGTGATTATAAGTAAACAAATCTTTGAGAGAATGGACACTAATTAGTTTGTTTGCTTGTCAAATAATTTTTTTTATTTTTTTAAATCTTCAATGTCCTCAGTTGAGAGAAGTGGTGGAGAATGACGGGAAGAAAAAGGAGATCGCCACTCTCCAGTCAATGGATGAAGAAGAAGGTACTCTATTCGATGTGAACTTCAAGGAGATGAGGAGCAGGTCCAAGATCCGATATGCTTGGGCTAGGACCATCAACACCTACCAGGTAAGATCAAAATACCAATAATATGAAGAGGTGTCATTGTTGAGTGGTTTAAGAATGTTCCACAGGGATGTTTGTGTGCACCTTAACTGCTTAGGGCCAGCTTGTTATGTATTCACCATGTACGATGCCGAGAGCTCATGGTATATATGCATAGTAAATACATGATCAGCTGGCCCTGCAAAACTAAGGTGCGCACAAACATTACCGTGGATTGTCTTTAAAAACACTGGCAGGAGATGGAAAGGTTTTGGGTTCGAGTCCAGACGAGGCTGGCACTATAAAGTACCGTTTGGCAAGACATCGATCTACATTTGTCACTCTCCACTCGGGTGCTTAATGGGTAGTATTGGTAAAAGATTAGTTCCTTAAATGTTAAATGCTGTGAGCACCAAAATTAGCTATAGCCTAACTACAGTTAATTCTGGAGCGCCTTGAGCACCTTGTGTGGTGGATATGAGAGTTTTAGAATTATCCCTCATCAAAATTATTATTATAATTATTACAATAAGATGCATTTGAGGATGAGGAGGCGCGATAGCTCAGTCGGTAGAGCAGTTGGTCTTGTAATCCGGTGACCCGGGTTCAAAACCAAGTCGATGTGCTAGTGCCCTTTGGTAAGGCATTAATCCTTATTACCAGGTCCCTCGGAGAGGACCTAAAGCCGTCAGCCATCTGGTTGCTTACTTGCTTTTTTAGCAGTCAGGTAAAATAACCACCACCATCATCATATTATAGCTACTATCTAAATTTACTCTACTGTCCGTAATGCAAAGTATTTTCTTATTACCCTGGTTTATCTGAGCTGTCATGATAAGGTACTAAAAAAATCAAGGAATTTCTTCATACCTGGTACCCATGCACTTCACCTCGATGGAGAGTGACACATGTAGATTGATATCCTGCCAAAGGACATTGTTCTCTTGTAGGGATCTGAACCCGTACCTTGTGATCCATAGTCTGGTAACTAATACCCACTAGACACAACCTGTCTAACTTCTAAAATGGGCCAATTATATTATCCATGGACTTCTGAATTCTCTTAACCCTCCAGGCGATCATACAGGAACCCCTCGTTTCCATAGGCCCTAGGTTAAAAGGATGCAAAGATTGTGCTGGATCGATTAGTAACATTTCAAAAATTCATGAAGTTTCTGGTTCTCTATACACTTTTTCTTATCCATTCTTCTAACCATCCCCCTTACCTCTCTCCTCTTCTCACTCGAACTCCAGGGCTCCGAGGTAGACTACATTGTGTACGTGATAAGCCCAAACTCTTTCTACGAGACTTGGCAGCACCTCTACACGGCCATCACCAGGGGGTGCAAGGGATGCATCATCGTGGGGACACCGGCCCGCCTGCAAAAGGTTGTGAAAACCAATCCTAGACCAAGACAAACCAGTCTGGCAAGGTTCCTCGGAGAGAACCTTTGTGAACTCCTGGTAAGAACTCCTCCTCCATGATCAGTTAGAGCCCTTTCAGATGTGAAGTAACAAACCCCCTTCAGAAAACTGCTGCAAATTACTGTAAAACCAGAATGTTTGGCCCTCTAAACATGTTTATGGATGTTGCAAGTAGTTCAGATTCATGAAATGAATTAACAAGTGACGCAACTCTCAATGTTTTTAATTCCCGAAACTTCACGGCATGAACATCTCTTTAGAACCATTAAAGTTTCATAATGCAAAAGTTTTTGGTCTTACATTAAAATGAGTTTACCAGTAGCTCAGTGTACTTTTGGAGCTTTTCAAGGAGAAATATGCCCAAAGCTAGTTGCTATGTGAATGCATTTGGTTTATTTCCATATTGTACTAATTTATACCAATACATTCTTTGTTTTTATCCCTCTGTTCACTGCATTTCTGCTTTGATCGACTGATTTGTAAGTCCTTTCAATGATTGATTCCTTTCAGATCTCAAGACCCAATCTTGCAGTACCAAGAAACGTCATTAGCTCCAAGAGAGGTACCTACCCCTTCTTTCTTTATGAAAAGTAAACTGGAACCAGCCCTTTTTACCCAATACTAAAAAGTTGCATTTTATTGTACCTTATAAATAATCTGCAATGGATTTAAGCCAGTGATATTACTGATAGAAGTTCAATTATATCTTTGAGAAATATCGTATTAATTTAGGGGTAAGGCAATATAGTTATACTGAGATAGTTGTCTTTAGAGGATATTTGTCTGGATACAGCTTGGAATACTGTCCCAGTAATACCTACATCAAAAGTAAGCAATACTTCCCTTTAGCATGTATAAATGAATACAACTGTTTAGGTAGTGAGCATTAGCTTTGAAGATAGTGAGAACACTTTGTCTTTCTTTTTCCTCCAGCACAAGAACAGCCTGTAAGGGGATCACCTTTCCATCTACCGTCTAGTTCAAATCCAGCTACTCCTGTACGAAGTCCACACCAGCAGAGCCCATGGGGAAGGCGAGAAGTGCCTGTCAACAAATCCGTATCCAATGGGCCATCGACCTCCAGTGCTACTCCAGTGCATTCATTTATAGATGAAGCGAACAAATCTACATGCACTACACCATCTATCTCAAGTGCTACTCCAGTGCAATCGCTAGCTAGACTGAATGAGATTCTAAAATGTGGCAGCCTTACTGCCCCTAAAAGAGCTGTTCCAGTTCCTGGATGCACTCTATCAGCAGCTGACCTTCCTGGATGTACATCGTTGGCTCCAGATCTGCCTGCATGTAAGGCATCATCACCAGCCTCTTCTGGATGTAAGGCATTAGCATTAGCCTCTCCTGGATGTGAGACATCACTGGTAGCCCCTTCTGGATACGAGGCATCAGCAGTAGTGTCTCCTGGATGTACGTCATTGGCTGCAGGTCTTCCTGGAAGTAAAACACTGGCAACAGTAGATACTCCTTTAGAAGTCAAAGGTAAGGATGGCATCTTCAAAAGCATGTGTCAAGATATATCATTCCAGAATATGGGTTCCTATAGAATCGTAGGTGCTCTTTTTGTGGGCTTGATCAGGGTTGGCAACAAGACAAGTAGAAACTGCTTAAATTACTTTGATGCATTAGAATGATGGCACCCATTAGGGTATATTCTTTGGGATAGGGGTAGTCAATTAGCGAGTTTTACATGAATCAAATCCTATTTGAATTAGTGAAGGTGCATTATACTAGGCAATGGCACTTGATGGTACTGAACAGAAGAATAGTTTGAAATTTGGTGCCAAACCACTGAACAAGATGGTTAGATGGTGAACCTCTCTTGTACTTTTGTATTCAACTAGTAGACACTACTATTCAGGACTTGTCTCTCATGCTCGTTTTGTCTTTCATCCATTGTTTCACTGAACAGCCAAGCCAAACAGAGGGAAGCTCTCCAGGAAGCGGAAAGTAAAGAACACTGTTCCTGTCAACCAAGATGTGCCATGTCTGCAGGGAGGTGATAGCACTGTTACAATGGATTCAGAGGTACCCGAGAAAAAGTCTTGTACATCGAAACCATCTCTTGCAGTGAGTCCCATGGCTGTCGCAGAGCAGGATCATCTGGACAAGGATCAAGTATCTGATAGTAATGGAGCAGAACAAGCCAAGGGGACATCATCGCCACAACAGCGTGAAGGAGATTTACTTTTCACTTCCATCCTACCCAAGGAAGAAAGTACCCCTGTCGTGCCCAGTCGCAAGTCGGGTTTCACGTTTTCTCGCAAACGCTTGAAACTTGCAAGAGAAAACAAAAATAAAGATGATCAAAATATGTCCAAGGGCGTTAAGGTCGAGACACTTCCTGCTGATGGGCAGGGATCACCAGAGACAGTTCATGGCTATGGCAAAGAGAACCACAATGAGCCATTCAGAGGTTCCAGAGGGAAGATGGATGGAAAGGAGTTGTCTGAAGGATTCAGATCGCCCAGTGACTCCAGAGCACCCCTGAAAAGTCTGGCTTTGATATCTTATGCTGTATTGAAATCAGTCCTCTCTAAATCCCCACAGGGTGTGGAGAAAGATCAAAACCTAAGGGTTCCAAAGCTCAAGGATGTACAAGAAAACACCTCCAAGGTACAGCCAAAGCAGCAATCCGTTGGAAACAGTCAAGAAACCCTGATCTGTGTCCCAGGCCTACTTGTAGGAAGATATAAAAATGTGCGGCGGATTTACAGTCAAGAAAGCGAGGAACTGCCATCATCCCCTAGCAGAAAGTCAAATGAGTGTAAAGAAGAGTGTCCATTCGAGGACAGCAATGATCAAGAACTGTCCCAATTTCTCTTACAGCCCCCTTCTGCCCTTGAGGTTCATCCTCTTTTCAGAGGTCTGGAAGAATACCTGAAAGATGATGATGATGAGACTGATTGCTCCATCTCATCGGATGAAACTGCCTTCTCTTCCAGTGGCTCAAGTCCTTGTCTAGGCACAGGTGACTACCCTTCAGATGGTAATGATGATGATGATGAGGATGGTGGTGGTGGTGGTGGTGATGTTCAGGATAATGCATTTGAAGATGATGATGAAGATGAGGAAATGTCACAATTTATTTTCCATCATCCACATTAGATTGGAAGTTGGTAGAAAATTGGGAGTGATCACTGTTGATCATCCTTGCTTTCTTTCCTGAAGCCATCGCAGTTTGCAAAACTAACATTAAAACTGTCTATTAAGGTCACCCAAGGCCGATAGAAAAAGTGACCACTTTAGGCAGGTGGCCTTTCTAGACAGATTCTACAACACACATTTCTTTCTCAAGGGAGATGAAATACATAGGCATTATACACAGGCAGCCTTTATGGAGATTAGAGAGGTGGTCATGGGTTCGACTGTATAAGTAGACATTTACCTATTAGTCATTCTGGAAATTGTGACAAACACTGCTGTAATGCATAGTGTGCAATAGATTAACAAGTATTCTGCTTGTTGAACAAAAAATGTGTTATAGATGAAGAAATTCCACCCTGCAAATATCACTGCAGTTTATTGTAGATCAGGAATAGCGTTAACTGCCACAGTCTCAATTACTACATATATATCAATTTAATGTTATTTGTTTTGAGACTTTTGATTTTTCACCTGTGAATGTTGCAATGCTATTATACCAAAGCTCATATGAATTCAATGATGTTCTGTAACTCCTGTTACAAATTCAAAGGCAAGGCTATGATATATTTGTGTGCTTATATTGGCTATAATTACTCAAGGCTAAGTAAGAAGCCTTTTATTTAGTGGCTGCTATTTAACATGTTTAGTACATTTTAAAATTATGTGATTATGCATAATTACTCTTTCTTTGATTGTAAGGATATTTATTGGAAAGTTTCAGACAAAATGAAAATTGAATATTATCCCATTTAAAGATAAGTTAATGTTTTTATTTTCATTTAAATGTGTTATTTATTTGTTTCCTTATTGTATGTTCATGTACATGTATGCGATTGGGAAAGAAATACAATTTTTTTGTAAAGGAATAGTTCAACCAGTGTTTTTCATATTTAATTTGATGTTGCCAATATATAATTTGGATGGATATGTTTTTCAGCCCCAAAATGTATCATACCCTTTCCAATATTCAAATGAATGGAAGTACCAATGAATTTGAAACAATGATTATTTCAATCATGAAATAAATATTAACAGATATTGATTCTCTGTTTGAATTTGATGTGGTATATCAGTTCATTTAAGTGAAATTGTAGATACTAGTTTATCTACATATCATTGAGTAACTGTATTTTTAAACTTTGATACACTTTGATGTGTCCAGGTATTTTAATAATAGTAATACTTGTATTACTGTGAACAGCAATTAACATACTAAGAGATGCTCAAATGTATTCAGGAATGTAAAAATTTGTCACAACATGCTTTTTAGATCAAAGTTCTAAATCCCTTTCTGTAAAATTCTTATTGATACCGGCCTGCCAACTTATATATCTTGTGAAATGGTACCTGAATTTCAGCAGGGACCCAAAAGTAATGTGTAATCATGAAGCCTTAATTGTGTATAATGTTGATTCCTGTTGCAGCAATATGTACATGTAGATATTGCTGCAGTTACTGTGGTATATCAATGCATTTGCAATAGTTATCTTGGACACACTTGTACAGTATGGGGGCAAAATTTTCTTTTAATAATATTTACACTATCATGTGATTACAGTAACTTTGAACTATATGTATATTTTGCTATTAATGTATCAACAGACCATTTTTACATGTATGTACGTATAACGAATGTTCATTTTGAAAATCACCGTCTTTTACTGATAACAAATTTATATACCATGTATGATACACAGGGCTTCTCTGTTACTTCAAATTCACCTTGCACTTATTACTTGTTGCTATAATAGGCAAGCTTTAATGTCATGAAGAGCCAATTCTGTTTTAGAAATATTTGTGTCTTCGTTTGAAATAATTCTTGCAATCTTATGTTTTTGTACATTTCATTTTTTGTCGATATAATTTTCTGTAGATTTTGATACATGTATTTTATTTTGAGCTTTGAGTAACTACTAATATATATTTGAATTTGTCATGCTTAGATTACAATTTGAATCACATTCATGGCTTAATTCATTATTCATCTGAAATTTCATTCAAGAAGTATGGAAGAAAGAGCAATGCTGTAACATCACAGATATCTCCAATTCCGTTTAACCGCCAGTCAAAACCGGACGGTTTTCGATTAAACGACTTTGTCGGCAGCAAGCCAGGCCCGTGTGAAAAAGCGGGAAGGACTTTAATTTAACTGCGAGGTGCATTTGAAGGCGTCGATTTGTGTTGATGAACTTGTCACAAATAAAAGTAACAATGTCGTTTTTAGAAGAATGTGTAAGGTCATTAATGTAAATTAAAAACAGTAGAGGACCGAGGATAGAACCTTGTGGTACGCCCTGTGTAAAAGTTGGATGAATTATTATTATAAACTACACTTTCAAACCAAGATGACAGACAAATTGGAGTGTTGTTCTAGTTTCAGAGTGGTGCGTCAACACACAGATTAATGAGCTGGGAGACATTGCCAGCATAGTGCCAGGTGGAGGGGCATAAATCGAAACTTTAAAAAAATTATAAAAAAATAAAAAAATAAAAAAAACGGGAAAACGAAACCGTCCAATTGAAAACAGAATCCGCCATGGGCGGTCGGATACCGGACGGTTAAAGGTTTGACTACAGCACTACAATAAACCAATGAACTCCTTGCAATATTTACCTTAAACACACTTTATCTGATAGTACTTTAGCCATCAAAGACAAATTGAAACTTTTCGTTGATGACAAGTTACTTTGAAGGAGGATAGAAAGATTAAATATATCTGTGAAACTGAAATGCAAACAAAATCTGAAAAGATGATTTCCCCCCTAAATTGTGAATTATTGGAATTTGATGTTTCCAAACATTTTAAACATTTCCAACTTTTGAATTGCTATGTACATGTAGGTAGGATAACTCTTGTCTTTCTAATTTGTATAGTTGAACAGTGCATGTATCTCTCGTCTTTCATTTTTCTAAATGTATTTATTCTTCTTTTCCTGACATTAAGTTAAGGTAGCAAGCTACCCACATACATGTATGTATTCAGTACAGCCTCAAGGGAAATCCCTCAAACAAGAATTGGACAATGACCAAGTGTTTTCAACTTAATGATAATATTTGTTGACCTCTTTTTTTCACCCACCTGTACTAAGCATTTGTAATGTCAAGATTATGTTCTTCTCAAATAAATAAGCTGTATATTGATTTATTACCCAATTTACTTGTTTTTCTGCTTCTTCTCAGTTTGTGACATTTGTCCTCACAAATGAACAGTGTAAAGTGTGTACAGTGGAACTTTGTAAGAAACTCATCAATACAAACTCTTTGTTATTATAGCAACTTTAGCAAGGTATAATTTTGCCACTCCCTTTTCTGTGTATTTTATCATTTCCCTAAGTTAAATCAATATTTTTTTTTCCAAACTATGCAAAATGTGTGTTACACTTTCTATGTTGAATTTAGCATAAATCGAACTATCTTTTGTTTGCCGACCTACTAGTCGACTTATGCAGAGAACTCTAAAAATTGATTGTTTTAGACCAGATTTTCCTACCGGTACATTTATATCAAGACAATTTCTTTCTGTATAATCATATATATAATTAGAAGTACACACGCAAATCAGAACTTCATGTGTCTTCCAAGAAGAAGTAAAAATCAGGAGAAAATCAGGAAACCAATTTAAATCGGGGAAATTATCAGGCCTGACTGAACTACAAATCGCAGAATCCAGGCAAACTGTAACTGTATATTTTTGACGGGATGGCTTGATCATGTTCACAAACTTAGACTTATAGGTATGACATTTTGAAAAAACTGGCCTCATGATTCAATTATTTTTAGGAGGAATAAACAATACAGCAATAGAGTGATATACCTACTGTATATATAGTTCAATTTATTCCATCAGAAATACAGCTCAAAGTGAGCACATCCACACACATACATGTAAATGTTATAATGAAGGTAGAAAAGTCAATAATTTTTGATTATTTCTTCTTGATCCATACTAAAATAATATAAAACAAAATTACTTCATCAATCATTATAATCTATTCATTTTTTCCTCGATACTGTGGGGTGGGGCATAATACTGAATACAAAATAAGACTGACAGTATTTTCTGCCTTCCTACATGTAGTTTATGGAAATGGGCTACGTAAGACTTCTCTCCTCTTTCCAACAATACACAATAAACTATTTACAGATGAACAAGACCATAATATCCCAAATACAGACATTTCTCAAAATATAATTTTCTATAAAAGGCATCATGTAGGCTTATTCTATTTCTAAATTGTTGGAAGTTGTGCAGTTTGAATACATGTACACGTCTCTATCTGTCATCTTGAGAGTTTGTGACATTCCTGACCCACTAAGGATTTCTTTAATTTACTTTATACTTAACAGCATATATCATTACTTGGTACCTGCATTCTATCTTTCATAATTAAGAGTTAATATGACTTGACAAAACAATTTTTTTTAAAGTTATAAATATATATTTCCCTGGCTTTATAGTGCAACCAAGTTTTCAAATTACATCACAAATAAATCTTTGAGACAAGTTTCCAGGCAGAAAAATATTGTTTAATTGTTGAGCTGGATAAAATATGGTTCCATGAATACTATCTTTAGAATTCACAACACTTATTTTGACACCCAAGTACAGTAGAAGGGTAAAATATTAGATAAAATATAGAATTGGATAATCTGGGACAGTTACAACCATGCAGGGATGACATGAAGGTTTCAGAAGGAAAAAATACAACATCTAATGAAAGCTGGAAGGTCTATGGGGCTGTGATTGTCTACAAGAATAGTAAGAAAACTGTATGGTAGATGCCAGGGAGTTTAAAATGAAAATCAGTTACTGCTAAAAAGATACAAAGCAACACAGATGAATCACTTTTCTCTAGGTAGTTCTAAGTGCTTCCACCTACGTAGCTTTACAGGCGTCCTATCTGATGGTGTTTTCTCTTCTTTGATTTTCTTCATCTCCACCCTCATCACGAGCATGATGAGTTTTCCTTCTTTGTTGGTGATGCGGTCTTCTTTCACGACATCCAAGACATCTCCTTCTTGTACCTGAAAGAGAAACGATTATTATGATATACAGTTAGCTTTGCATAACTCAAATCTCTTGGGACTATCTTGGGACAATCGTTGCTGATAAAACGTTTTGTGTGTTTAACAGCATACATGTGTATAATTATGGGCAAGGATTTTCTTCCAAAGAATGTATTTACTTATTGTTGATGTATATCTTTCAGTTATTTTCAAAAGAAAAATTCATCTTCTGAGTGTTTAACAATGCATATTCAACGTTCATTTCATCATTATTATTCAGAATCCCACTTTATTAAAAAAAATTACAATACAATGGAGACACAACGTTTGAAGAAAAAAAAAAAAAAATGTCTGTTAAACTTACCTGTCGACTCTTTTTCATCACTTTCTTGCCGTTGTGTCGCAGTTTAGCTTTGAGAAATGCTTCCTCAATTTTCCTGGGGATACAAACATCGGATTTGCATGTTTACAAAAAATGAATATGATTTTTCATCTTTTTTTTGTCGTTAGTTATATTCTATAAAAGGGGGAGAAAAAAATCCAAAATACTATGGGCAGATGAACTTGAATAACAATTCATGAAATAAAAAGAGCAGAGTATGTTAATCTATCCAGGATTGTTATCACTTTTATTACCAGTCATCAAATCAAATATCAAAAATGTGAAGTACATGTAAAACCATCCAAGTCCAATTAATGTAAAAATATATATCTTTAAATTTAATACAATTTTATGAAGCTTACTTTCTAGATACTCCAAGACCAGAGCTCAAGACAGCATCTATCCTCAAAGATGGAACATTCATCTTCAAATCTTTCCAGTCTTTCTTGGCACCATCAATCTCATCTTCTTCTTCAGAATCATCAACGTCGCTGTCAACCTTCTCCTCCTCATCGTCAGTTTCATCATCTGAGTCCACACCTCTCTTGACAGGTTTTTGTTTTGACTTCGTCTTCTTTGAATAATAGCACACACACTGGTTTTGAAATGCTGAATGTTCAACTGCCAAAAATTGATGTTGGTCAGTCCAGGCGATATTGTTGTGTTTTGTTGGAGCACTCTTCTCAAGTTTTCTGCATTGCCCTTTCATTTGGGAAGGCAACAATTTAGCAGTAGAACGTGCAGAGAACATGGAGTGAAAGTTAACAAGTTTGTAGTTGAGTGGAAATAATAGAAACGGTGATTTCCCCTTGAATACGAGAGATGATAACTGATAAAGAAAAGCTGCCATGCCAACTTCAATTCAATCTGCAACTGAACTGCTCACGACGGCGACGATGCGCTGCACTACAATAATCTGCGCCGAAGCGTCAGGCGACAAAGTCTATTGTTTTCCGGTGGATATTCGCGAGAGCGACTGATTTCAGAATTATTATGGTATATAGTCGTCTAGAAGCAACTAGGGTTTTTCACAATTCCTCCAAAAAAATGGAACACAGCTATATACATTACGGAACTTATGCAATGAATAAAGATATCCTGCAAATTGTAGCGTAGCGTTTATTTCTCTTTATCGGCTTAAAATTCACCGGTGGTAATCGTTTAAAACCTTAACCCGAAATGGCTTACCATACACGATGGTAGCCTCTAATCGGGCACATCTACAAGGAGGTCAATGAATATGCATATCAGTGACGTCTTGTCAAGTCATGAATATTGATGTTCTTGACTGCGCGCGTACGATCGTACGTACGTACGTGCAGAATTGGGGTCATGACTGTTCAATGAAGGTAATACGTGCAACACAAATCAGGGCAAAATCTTACCATGATTATACAGTTGTATTGTCCGTGATTATGAGGTAGAAGTGTTTGAGTGTTAAGTAAATTTATTTAGTGTGGATTTTGATACATTTTTGAAACAGTTTATACAAAATTGGCGATTCTTTTGGTCGTTTTTTAACTCCAAAAAACAAGTGACCAACTCGGTCGTCGGCTAAACCACCTAGCCCTGCCTGTAGATGTGCCCGCCTATATCTCTACATGTGCCCGATCGAGATAGGGATCGAGTTAGTGTAATAAAATAGTATTCTATATTCAATATCCGAGAGTTCACGGATGAAACATTAAAGCTCCCTTATATATGAGTTTTACAAGTATCAATTTATCTTCTTTTCATGGATTTTCTTTGGATTCTACGTGTTTTACGTTGTCAAACAACCACCTCCCTGTAGATGTGCCCGCCTCCCGCTACATGTGCCCGAGATAGGGGATATGTAGTAAGGCATACAACTTAGTGCTGTATATTGAATTTCCGACATGTCATGAATATAATAAAGCTTCCTAAGATACAAATGAGTTTCATAAATATCAATTTATCTTCTTTTCATTGATTTTCGTTGGATTTTACGTGTTTTAAGTTATCAAAACATGCACCTCCCTGTAGATGTGCCCGCCTCCCGCTACATGTGCCCGAGATAGGGGAAATGTAGTGAGGCATACAACTAGTGTTGTATATTAAATTTCCGTCATGTCATGGATATAATAAAGCTTCCTAAGATACAATTGAGTTTCACAAATATCAATTTATCTTCTTTTCATGGATTTTCTTTGGATTCTACGTGTTTTACGTTGTCAAACAACCACCTCCCTGTAGATGTGCCCGCCTCCCGCTACATGGGCCCGAGATAGGGGAAATGTATTGAGGCATACAACCCGAATTTCCGACATGTCATGAATATAATAAAGCTCCTAAGATACAAATGAGTTTCACAAATATCAATTTATCTTCTTTTCATGGATTTTCTTTGGATTCTACGTGTTTTACGTTGTCTAACAATCACCTCCCTGTAGATGTGCCCGCCTCCCGCTACATGTGCCCGAGATAATGGTGTATAGCCAGACATTATAGTATATCTATGAGTATCTTTCTTGCTCCCTCGACGTGACGACTCCACCAAACATACCCCCTCTTTCTTACTCACCCCCTTTCTCTCAGGCTCTTATCCCCCCCCCCCTCTCTCTCTCTCTTTCATCCCCTGTTTCTTTTGTTTTCTTTTTCTCTTTTTTCTTCTTCTTTTGCTCCTTTTCTTCCTTTTCTTTCTTTTCCTTTCTTTCCTATCCTTCCTCTTTTTCTCTTTCTTCCTCCTTTTCCGGACAATATCCTGACAGGCGGGGGTGTCGCACCCCCACACCCATTTGGGGACGCCCCTGGTTGTGGGAGTTAGATTATATACAATATTCAAACTTTTCGTAAATATACAATATTGCACGATTTTTTTCCTCCTCATAATAATGTAAGGAAGTAATATTTTCAAGATTTTAAGTCAAATAAGATACGATTTTGCGATCGTAAGGCATTAAGCAAACGGTAGTGTCCCCTATATTGTGTCTTTTTAAAAGTATAGGCCTTTATTTTCTTTTAGCTTTGATAATTATATAAAAACATCCCCATAATCTAGCTAATATATTTCCCCCGCTCCAGTGGTGACAAAAAAGGGAAACATAACACACACGTAATCCTATCGTTATTTGTCCCCCTTGTGTGAAATATCCCCCCCCCCTTAACTGATTGGCTAATCTTTGGTGACAAGACGATATATTTTACAAGGAAACCACCTCGACCGAAAAAAAGACAGATTTAGAACGTGACAGTAAGACAATGCATATATGCTTTATGATTACCAACCTCTCCTACGAGATGACCCCGACAATAAGACACTATTTCAAACTCGTGGGAGACAGTGAGCATATAGGATGACAATATATAATGCTTTTTCACAAAAACAAAACAAAAAACACAACAATATATTCCTGTTCTCAATGTGTATGATGAATTGACAGGTGATATGTATATTATGATGTGTTTGTTCTATAATTATCTATCTTGTTTCATGACAACTTACATCAGCCTTAATTTTCGTTCTATGTGTTCCCTTTGTTGTATTTTCTTTCTTTTTATTATGGTTTGGTTATTGAAATTAATTGATTATCTATATTTCGTGTGTGAACCTTTAAGCATGTATATATCGACTCGAATAACTATTACATTTATTTTCTGTGTTTGCTTTGAATTTACCATGTCTCGAATGAATTAATCAATGATTATTTTTTATTGAACCTGCATTCAAATTTATGTTTACATTCCGTATTTTTCATGTGTTTGTTCTGTGTTTATCATTATATCAGACCCCCTTGTTGCTACGAGGGCTAGATATCCCACCCCGAAATAAAAACGAAGAC